TGTCTTAAAAAGTACATAGCTTAATTTAAAATTAAAAATATTTTATTGCTAAAAAATGTTGATGATCATCTAAGCCTTCAGTGACTTATAGTCTTTTTGCCAGTAAAGGATCTTACTTTGGTGTGGATGGCTGTTGGCTGATCAGCATGGTGGTTGCTGAAGTTTGGGGTCACTGTGGCAATTTCTGAAAATGTGACAACAGTGAAGTGTCCTACATCAATGGACTGTTCCTTTCATAAAAGATTTCTCTGTAGTCCTGGTGCTGTTCCATAGCATTTTATCTACAGCAGAACTTCTTTCAAAATAGGAGTCAGTCCTCTCAGACCTTCCCACTGCTTTATCAACTAAATTTATGTAATATTCTAAATCCTTTGTTGTCACTTCAATAGTGTTCACAGCATCTTCACCTGGAGTAGATTTCATCTCAAGAAACCATTTTGTTTGCTCATCCACAGAAAGCAGCTCCTCATCCATTATAGTGTCATCGTGAGATTACAGCAGTTCAGTCACATCTTCAGGCTCCACTTCTAATTCTAGTTGTCTTGTATTTCCACCCCATTTGCAATTACTTCTTCCACTGAAATATTGAAGTCCTCAAAATCATCCATGAGGATTAGAATCAACTCCTTCTAAACTCTTGTTCATGTTGACATTCTGACCTCCTTCCATGAATCACACATGTTCTTAAGGACACCCAGAATGGTGAATTTTTTCCAGGTTTCCAATTTACTTTGCCCAGATACATCAAAGTTATCACTATCTATGGCAGTGATAGCCTTACAAAATGTATTTCTTCAGTAATAAGACTTGAAAGTCAATATTATTACTCCTTGATCCATGGGTTACAGAATAGATGTTGTGTTAGCAGGCATGAAAATAAAATTATTCTCCTTGTCCATCAGAGCTCTTGGGTAGCCACTTACATCATCAATGAACAGTAATATTTTGAAAAGAATCTTTTTTTCTGGTTAGTAGGTCTCAACAGTGAGCTTAAAATATTCAGTAAACCCTGCTGTAAACAAATGTACTGTCATTCCGGCTTTTTGGTCTATTTATAGAGTATAGACAGAGTCGATTTAACATAATTCTGAAGGACCCTAAGATTTTCAGAATGGGAAATGAGCACTGGCTTCAATTTAAAGTCACCATCTGCATTAGCCTCTAACAATAGAGTCAACCTTACCTTTGAAGCTTTGAAGCCAGACACTGAATTCTCCTCTCTAGCTATGAAAGTCGTAGATGGCATCTTCCAGTAGAAAACTGTTTTGTCTGTATTGAAAATCCACTTAGGGTAGCCACCTTCATCAGTGATTTTACCTAGATCTTCTAAATAACTTCCTGCAGCTTCCCCATCAGCACGTGCTGCTTCACTTTGCACTTTGATGTTCTGAAGACAGCTTCTTTCCTTAAGTCTCATGTACCAACCTCTGCTAGATTCAAAATTTTTTTTGCAACTTCCTTATCTCAGTCTTCACAGAATTCAAGAGAATTAGGTCCTTGCTGTGGATTAGGCGCTTGGGCTTAATGTTGTGACTAGTGCTTCTATCCAGAGCACTCAGAGTTTCTCCCTATCTGGAACAAGGCTGTTTTGCTTTCTTTTTTTTTTTTTATTTTTTTTATTTCGGCATATTATGGGGGTACAGATTTTAAGGTTTCAATAAATGCCCATTTCCCCCCTCCCCCCAAAAGTCTGAGTCTCCATCATGACCATCCCCTAGATGGTGCGCATCTCACTCATTATGTATGTATATACCCGCCCCCCTCCCCCCTCCCACCTGCCCAATACCCTATCACTGTAGTATCTATGTGTCCACTTAGGTGCTACTCAGTTAATACCAGTTTGCTGGTGAGTATATGTGGTGCTTGTTTTTCCATTCTTGGGATACTTCACTTAGTAGTATGGGTTCCAGCTCTAACCAGGAAAATATAAGATGTGCTATGCTTTCTTATCATTCATGTATTTACTGAAGTTGCAGTTTTGATTTCCTTTAAGAATTTTTTTTTATTTATTTTGCATTCACCGCTTGGTTGTTGGCACAGTAGACCTAGCTTTTGCCCTAATTTGGTTTTCAACATACCTTCCTTACTAAACTTAATAATTTCTAGCTTTTGATTTAAATTGAGAGATGTAAGATTCTTCCTTTCACTTGAACACTTGGACACCCTTATAAGGTTATAATTAGCCTAATTTCAATATTGCTATGTGTCAGGGAATACTGGTCAATGGAACAGTCAGAAAACATATAACATTTGTCAATTAAGTTTGCTTTCTCATGGGTGTGGTTGTTAACACTCTAAAACATTTACAATAGTAACATCAAAGATCACAGATTACCATAACAGATATAATGAAAAAGCTTGAAATATTGTGGGAATTACCAAATGTGACAGAGACACTAAGTGAGCACATGCCAGTAGACTTGCTTGATGCAGGGTTGTCACAGACCTTCAATTTGTAAAAGATGTGATATCTGCAAAGTGTAAATACAGTGAAATGACATAAAATGAGGTATGCCTGTGTTCTTCTAATGTACTTATGTACTCATTGCTGATCTCATCTTTGCGTGTTGCTGAAAACTATATAAAAACAAAATTTAAACCATGTGAGACATGGGTATATATGTGTAATTGTTTAGAAGTAGAAAATATTTAGAAAATAATAAGTAATACAAATGGATGAAAGTGGTTAACAAAAGCCAAAAGATTCATTCAGTGAATATCTTCTTTGAGTAGCTAAGAATTACTTACATAATGGAAAATAATGGACAGAGGAAGAAGAGAAAATAATGTTAGATCTTTTTTTTTGTGTGTGTAGACAGAGTCTGACTCTGTTGCCCCAGCTAGAGTGCCATGGCATCAGCCTAGCTCACAGCAACCTCTAACTCCTGGGCTCAGGCAATCCTCCTGCCTCAGCCTCCCAAGTAGCTGGGACTACAGGCAGATGCCACAATGCCCGGCTAATTTTTTTTTTTTTCTATTTTTAGTGGAGATGGGGTTGCTCAGGCTAGTCTTGTACTCTTGACCTCAAGTGATCTTCCCATCTTGACCTCCCAGAGTGTTAGGATTATAGGCATGAGCCACTGCACCTAGCCTGTTAGATCTTAATTATAGACAAAAAGTTTCAATTTGTTGAAAATCAAAACAGTTGGGTTAAAAAGTTAGCTGACACAGGTAGGATGATTTTAGTGTATGAAAAACTTTTCTCTTGAGTCAATAATAAGGCACACTAACATAAAGGCAGTATTATAATTATTAATAATATTCTTAAAAACATATGCTGGATATCCTTGTGAGGGCTTTTCTATATTCTGTTAATTATCACAATAATTTTATTATTCCATTTAAACATGAGGGAACTAAGGCATAGAGAGATTAAGAAACTTGTTCACGCTTGCATTTCTAGTAAGTAGCTAGTAAGCTGTGCATTTTTTCTGACTAGCATGGCTGTCTTTTTGATACCAGGAGTGTGGCTCTTATGTCCATGCTCTTAACCACTATCCTGTTCTGTTAAAGATGGGCAAAGAACCAGAAGGGAAATTTTAAATAACCTAAAAGCATGGAAATTCTTCAGTTTCACTAATAATACAAATTAAAATAAAAACAATTTTTCTTTGTTTTTTTTCGTTAATAGAGTGATGAGAATAAGAAATTTTCATGGAGTGGTGATGGGAATCCATTGCTTCTAGCATGGAGTTGGAATCTATGTCCTATTTGGCAGACTTAGAAGCCCCTCTTGGCAGAAAGCTCGGTGTGATTGGGGATCAGTGCTACCAGGTTAAGGCTGGAAGTTCTGATGGCAGTAGGGAGCGTTCCATTGTTTTTGGTCACTCTTCTAGAATTGTGTGGAGAAGATGCATCTTGCTCCATGGTCAGTTTTTGAACTTTATGTGTGCATTCGGTTATGTTCATGACTCTAAGCATAGTACACAAGGTTGTCCTTCCTCAAAATGAGTAGGGCCTTGCTAGTGACAACTGCATATATACAGAAGGATTATTGAAGATTTTAGTGGCTCTATATATAGGAAATCTCTCCAGCAGAGATTGGTACTAGGGTTTTAGCTTTGATAATACATGTTAAATTATGTTTATTTTATTGTGGCATAGAAATTGAGAGAAATTTCATAAAGCTGATCTCAGTAGCTTCAGCCCTAATTCTTAATGTTTAGTTTGGTGCAAGATGCAGGGAATATAGGTTTAATTCCTTTATTCAAACTCAGTAAATGGTTTGGGACAATTAATTTCCAATTGTTTCCCAGTAGAGCAGATTTACTTGTATATTAATGAGGCACAGGTGTTAGGCCCCTGGTGTCTGCATGCCTGGGAGGCATATTTCGGTTGTTTATCTACTCAGCCATAGGTACTGCAAGGTACTCAAGCTTGCCTTTAACAGTTTTTACAGTGAGGCTTTTTAATTTTTTGATTTTTTTTCAAATTTGCCCACACCTGTTAAAATTTTAAAACTGATCATGTAGAAAGAAGTTGCAGAGATTTCAATATTAAGTAGCACTAATAGTTAAAAAAAAGTAGTCTTCTATAATATTATATTTAACTGCCCAGCCTGACATTAAAGAGAACAAGTTCATTTAAACAGATATTTCATATGAGAAGCTAATGTAATCATTATACTTTTTTGTTGTATATTTTTGAAGCATGTATATCTTTGTCAGTGGCTAAAACAGTCATTTATTTATATTACTATTCATTGTTTTTTTGTTTATACACTGAACTGCACTATCAACATTTTAGAGGAAATGTAATAGCCTCCACAGACATGAATTTCAGTAGCTGGCGTAATTATAGCTATCTACATATTCATTAAATCTACAGAAGAACTGTATCCAAAAAGACAGCCATGCGTTTAGAAACAGTACACAACTAAATATATATGTTTTAAAAGTTGCATTTGTTAGACTTATTTAAAATTAATTTCCTGTAGCATTCCTCTCCAAGCAGAAGAATTTTAACAAAAGGATTCCCATGCTTTGGTTTCTTTCATATAGGAAAGAATGGGAAGAACTATTTGTAAACAACAATTACTTGGCAACAATAAGGCAGAAGGGGATTAATGGGCAGCTGAGAAGCAGCAGGTTCCGCAGCATTTGCTGGAAGGTAAGAAGAAAATATTTATTTACAGTTTGTGGTTGCAATATATCAACACATTACCTGATGCCCTGGAAGATTACCCATGCAGGGGATCACTGAATTTTCTAAAAGACTTCACTCCCATTATTTTGGCCATCTATGTTTATCTTTCATAGGACATTTACTAATAAGATTGAACCACCTTAATCCTGAATAATTGGTGATGGTAAAGGAGTCATATGAAATAACTGTCTTTTCATCTGTTTTGTTGGTACAAAATTCAAAGCAACGCTTTAACGTTCCCCCAGAAGCTTTTGCAGAATTCTTGAAGCTGTGCAGGAGAAGGGGGATGCTAACTTCCAGGTTCCTATTACATCAAGTGCCATCAGTTAGCCCTCCTTTCTTTTTTCTTCCTAACTAACAAATGTAAAAGATTTTTCACATTTCTTTTACTAGAAACACAAAGTGAAGAGCAGTTAGAAGTGGTGGAAGGAAATTGGGTCATTCTGCTTCAGAGGAAAAGGGCCACTGATTACCAAAGCTAGTAATAATAATCTGTAGTTATCTTTTTTATTATTTTGAAATATTATTTCTTTTTATTCTCCAAAAATGAATTAATTTATGTTTAGACTCATTTCTAAAATGACTTATATCAAAAATTTTTAGGATTATCTGTATAAATTGGGCATACTGAGTTTGTGCAAGTAAAGATAGTAAGAAACACTTGCATTAGACATTTTTAGATTTAATAATTTATGTTTAATAATTAAAATATATTTTTCTTGTTTTAGGTGCAAGCAATAAAGGCAGGAGACCTGCTGCTAGAATATTTGTGTACAAATATTTGTGCACCAGCCCCATTCACTGTTGTTTAACTTTTATTATCCTGCTTTTTCTAAAAATAACCTAAATCCAGATTTACTTTAATGTTGTATTAAACTAAATTAAATCAAATTTGCCTTTTTAAGAGTGCTTGTTATTTTCATAAGCTGATTGCCTGTTGTAAATTACATTTTTCTCTGTAAAAGGAATGCCTTTGTGTCTCAGGCTGTGTCCTTGGTAGTAAGACTGTTCTTTGCTGTCTTTTACTTATGTGTTTTAAGACAAAACCTTAAACTAGTAATTACTAACTAGATCTCGTGCTTCTTAATAACCCCCTACCACTCTCATTAAGATTCAAATGTAAAATGTGAATTATACTTGAACCTCAATGAATTTTTCTTCCTTTTTAATATAAATCTAGAGGGGAGCTTGATTCCATTTTGTAGTGTAGCTTTTATGATCTTGTTTTTTGATTGTTCACTTTTTGAATTTTCTAATTATATAATTCTTAAATATCCCTAAATATAAGTTATTGGGCATTGGAATGATGATATGAATATGAAATATCTTGAATATGATATCTCTTTCAATTTTCAGGTGATTTTGTTTGGCATGGTTTCAATTTTATATCTTATGATTGTTACAAAAGTTTCCTCTTTTTTTTCTTCACAGCTATTTCTTTGTGTTCTTCCTCAAGATAAAAGTCAATGGATAAGTAGAATTAAAGAATTAAGAGCATGGTATAGCAACATTAAAGAAATAGTGAGTAAATAGTAAATGTAGTTAATGTGATTTTTTTCTTATATATACTTTAGAGTCCAACAGCCTCTAATTCTTGTGTGTATGTGTTTTCTCTTTCTTTGCCAGCATATTACAAACCCAAGGAAGGTCGTTGGCCAGCAAGATTTGATGATCAATAATCCCCTTTCACAGGATGAAGGGGTAAAGTTCATCTTTACTCATAGCTCAACCTCTTTTGCCCATAAGAATATGCTTCTGTGACTGTTTATCAATCACCATGAAAGCAATGTATCTCATGCCAACTATTTTCTTTATTCCATAAACAGTGCTACCTAAAACCTGATATAAACTGTTATGTGCCATATACATAGTATGTTGTAGGAAATTAATTATATATTTCTGTGGAATGACATTATAGAGAAGTCTCAGGGGTCTGTAAGAACTAAGAGTAAAATAGAAGAGTATAAAGATGAGAATATAACTATCTTATCAGGGTTGCAGTGGGGAATGAGGTAGCTCAGGAAAGCCTCCTTTCATGATAAAAATAGAGTAGGGTTCACTTGGCAGAACTAACTTCCAGGAAGAAAGAAGTAACTATTTGTAGTAAGTGAGTCTGTGAGGAAGTTTAAAAATGATCAGGCCTACTTCTACTCATATTCCAGTAAAGACTAGGAATAATTAGTACTTTAAAGATATTATATAACTTCAATTGTTGCTGCTCTAATTTTTGTCTGTTTACCTTAGAACAGAATTTTTTCTATTTAATATATAATATTAGCATTTCTTTTTCTTGATACATATAATAATTATGATATAGTCTTTCATATAGGAGCATAAAATATTAAGCAATTTTTAAAACTTTTCCTAAATTTACATTTTAAAATATATGTTAAAACCTATTGGATTAAAAAGCCAAGCTTTGTAGAAAACATTATGTATCTTTCTTAGTATACTGGGAACTCAAGTCAGGTTCAAGCTGGAGCCAGTTGACCCATTGGTCCTGCTCTAATCCAAGTACATTTTTATTGATAGACAGTAATAGTAGCAATGTATAGCAGTGAAAATTATCATTCACTTTATATGGATAATAGAAGTTTTAAAAATATACAGTCATTTCTCAGTCCATGGGGCATTGGTTCCAGGACCCCTGTGGATACCATGGATCTCAAAATTTGTAGGTGTTCATGTCCCTTATATAAAGTAGTATAGTATTTCCATATAACCTATATATGTCCTCTTGTATACTTTAAATCATCTCTATATTGTTTATAATACCTAATACAATGTAAATGCTATGTAAAGTTGTTACGCTGTATTTTTTAAAATTTGTATTATTTTCTATTGTTGTATCATTATTTTAATTTTTTTTCTAATATTTTTGATCTGTCGTTGGTTGAATCCTTAAATTCAGAACCTACAGATAGGGAGTGCTGACTGTATTCAATAATACAAACTGGAAAAATTGATTTTACAGTAAGGTTATATTTTGGAGATTCAACTAGATTTTAATGAAAATTATCCCAATGTCAGGCTTTCTATCTGCACTGTGAAATAATTCAGGAAGGATAAATTTAATCATTTAAATTATTAAGTTGAAATTATAAAAGTCAAGCAAAGGTGTGAGATTATTTTAAATAGGTGTTTTCCTTATTTCAGAGTCTTTGGAACAAATTCTTCCAAGATAAAGAACTTCGATCAATGATTGAACAAGATGTTAAAAGAACGTATGTAGAACTATTACATGTTCTTTTCAGTAATTCAAATTGGTGTTTACTTCTTTGTAATTGTAGAAAAACACAAAATCTGTAGAAGTGCTTAATTGAACACAGTATTCTACTTGTGTTAGTAACAAACTTCTTTTGGCCAAATGGTAATAATAAGGATTATTTTCTATTCTTACAATACAGATTTCTATTTTCCCTTTTTGAAAGTAAATTATATTTATAATATTGATGATCTTAAAATAATATTTAATTAGCTTTATCAATTTCCAACAAATATTTGAAGTCTTGTGCATCTGATTAAGGTTATATTATATAGTCATTATTGATTTGCTAGAAAAAATTATGTCTTGCTTTATGCATTTGAATCTTGTTCTAATAGAATTGCTTTTTAAATAATAATCATTATTCTTATCCTCATTTTTCTTCCTTTTGAAGCTACTCAAATTTTCAAATGATATTTTCTCTCAATCTACTCAGTATTTACCATATGAAGAATAGTTTTTTGTTTAGCATGTAGTTAATATCCATAACTTTGATAATTGGACCTTATCTTTCTGAGTCATATAGTAGGAAGTACATGGAATTTGTGTCAGAAGATATTAGGGTGAGTCCTAGCTAACATATGCTGTAATTGTGGGGATATTACTTTCAACATCTTCCTCCCTCAGTTTCCTGTTTTGTAAAATAGGGATAATAGTAACAACCCTGCAGGAGTTTTGTAGATTAACATAAATACAGTAATAGTAGTAAATTAGATAGGCCTACACTTTAAACTGCAAACTATCACATAAATGTCAGCAAATTTAATTTAATCATTGGGATCTGGAATTAGCCAGGTATGCGCAGAGTCCTGGATATCTGAAGTGGCTTCTGCTAAGTCCTTCTGCAGCTTTGCCTGTGTGCTCTACTCCTAATTCCGTCGCTACTAAGTCTCTTACAATGTCAAGGCCTCTGGATCTCTGATATTTGTCTCTTTCCATGTCCCAAACCCTGAATAATCAGTTGACATGTACTTCTATTAAGATTACACTATATATTTAACAAAAGAAATTTTCTATTTTAAAGTGAAAATAATTCAGAGGAATCATGGGTTCAGAGAACAACAAAACTATGGGGAGGGGGGTGGGAGGTATGGGATCATTTTGATTAGCTTGAGTTACCCAGTTACCTCAGAAGTAACCCATGTTTGTGGGGAAGCTACTGTCAGAGCTGTTGGGTGATAATGCTTGACCTCTCTAGTATACAGTTTCAGAAAGTAGAGCACCATTGTACCGGCACATATGAGGCTCTCAATAAATATTTGAAAAAACGAAAGAAGAAATTTCCTCATTAATCATTTCAGGATTTACGTAATCAGTGGCAGTAAAACAGGTCTCTTTAAAAACAACATGTGCAGTATATATTTCTAACCAAGCAGTAAAAATGTGTCTTTTAAAAAGTGTATTTAAAACACTTGACAACTTCAGGTTGCTCTGTTTAATAAGCAGGATTATAATCAGTCTTTCTACAGTTAACAAATGGAAATGGGGCCATAGCCCTGGTAGAGTCTTTTAAAATTTACCTCCACTGGTATATTTTATTAAAATGGCAAACCCAAAGATTCAAAGAAGGCAGCTAGGATGGCCTATAGTTCATAACATTGGTAAGTAAGGTTCTATATTTTCCATGGAAGGCTCTCCCGTAATTCTCTCCACATTTAGAGTAAGTCTTCTTGCCAACTGTATATAAATTCTGTGGCAAGGAACTTAGCTTGTAAGGTAAGGTGGTCAGTTTTATTTTAAGGCCACCAAAACATTTAATCACAAAAGCTGAATAGCTTGTCTAATTTTACTACTTCACATCCTTATAAGGTACCACATGATCTAAAATCCATGTTTTTCAATCCAGTCTGTAAGGAAATTCATAATACAATAGGAGAAGAAAAGTACAGCTCAGAGATGGTTATACAGTGTTACTTGCTCACTAGCCTCTGTGATAAGAATTTTGCTTTTTTAAAATGTATATTTATTGAATATTTACTATGCTTCAGGTTTGCCCTTTGCATTGGGGAGAACAGAGTGGTGAATAACACAGATAGGGTCCTGCTATCACAGGATGTATATTTTAGTGTGGTGGGGTGGGAGTGAGACAACAGCATGTATATATTAATATAAAGAGGTGATTAATATGTAAGGTGATTAAATGCTCTAAAGAAATAAAGTATGGTAATTTGCTAGCTAGAGGGAGAATAGCCAGTGGGATGGCTACTATGGGAATATTAATCAGAGAGGGCATCTCTGAGAAGATAACATTTGGGTTGAGATGTGAAAACAGTTTAAAGGCCAGCCATGTGGAGATCTGGGGAAGAACACTTATGGCAGAGGAAACAGCTAATGCAAAGTTCCTCAAGAAAATGAGGTCAGTGTTTAGAAGAATGAAATAAGGCAGGTATGGCTAGATCCAAGTGATTTAAAGAGAGGAAATATGAGAAGAGGGCAAAGGCCAGACAAACAATCTTGTAGACATAGTAAGAAGTTTGGATGTTATTCAAATTGCAGTGGGAAGTTATTGGAGGATATTGAGCAGGGGTGTGATATCTAAAAAGTAATTGTGGCTGCTATGCAATGGGGTAAATGTGGATGTAAGAATGAAAGCTGGAAAAGTCACTGGAAGTCTATTGCAGTATTCCAAGTTATGTAATATTAGTGACCTAGACTAAAGAGGAGTAATAAAGACAAAAATAGATACGCTGAGGATACACATTTTATATTTTTAAATACAAATTAGGGAGTCATTACATGTAGTTTTCTCACATCCTTCAGTTTTATTCAATTTTTACTACTATATTTCATGTTCTTTTTACCTCCTGCCTACAATCTCTTACTAGTTTAATTATTCTCTTTGGATCTAGTATATTTTTACTTCTAGTCCATTCCATATGCTACAACTCAATCACTCTTCTCAAAGCACATTTGTAATCATGCCATTTGTCTAATTCAGACTCTTTTATGATTCCCATTGGCCTGCAGAAGAGTGGACTTACCTATCTTCCCTAATAGATACCCAGTTCCTTGTTAACCAATGCTTCTGGTATTATTCCATGAACAGATTTTGTGCTTTCCATTTTCCATGCTTTGGAATGCTCTCCTCCACTGGAATGCTACTTTGCTCCACTGCTTCCAATGTGGATTTCTGATAACTCATCCTTCAAGGCCTGGGTTCATGAAGCATTTTCCAGTCTTGTATAATTGGAAATAATTTGTGCCTACCCTATGTTTTTTAGAATTTTCATAATAACTTTTTAATTATATTATTTAATTTTGTTTGGTCCTATATTTGTTTAGGTCCATCTGTCAATGTATTGAATACATTTAATCTCCTCAGTGTACCAGGCACTAGAGATGCCAAGGTAAATAGGACATGGATCCTTAAGAAGCTCAAAGTCTAATAGAGAAAGCAGAAAAAATAGTTACAATATAGGATAACTGGTGCTGTAACAGAAGTGTGTACGATAGCTCTGGTTTAGCCCAGGCGTCATCTTTCAAACCTAATGGTAAACCCTTCGAGAGCATGAACCTTGTCTTGTTTTTGTTTTACTGCCCATTGCCAAGTTGTTGCTTAATAAGTTATTATTGCAAATCTTATGACTGGTGATCAATGTTGTTCAATTTTAGTAATAATGTCTAACATCTTTTAAGTCTTCAGAGACATAACCACACTTTAAAAAATACTATTATCAACCTTCTAGTCTGAGTTTAAATAAGATAATTTGATTTCATGTACTGTGTTTTTTACATCATTATTGAATTTATTTGATCTGCATATGTCACTGTATTAAATATTATCTCCCTCTTCAACTAATTTTAATATTCTTTTATGCCACTAACCCTTTTTTGCCTCAAAGGGTTTTGCATTCATTTCAATTAATTGTTCCTTAACTCAACATAATGAGGTTGTTACTGTTCCCATTTTTATTACTGAAAAAACTGATAAAAGGTAAATCAAGGAATGTCCAATTTATGGCATTTCTAATTTAGAACATGAATTGTCTGTTCTGAACAAATTTTGCCATGTTTCAAAAGCTCTAACATTAAATGAAATTCAGTATTATTTAAAATGATGGGAAATAATGAGTTCATGATAAAATATCATTTCTATATTAGATGCCAAAGAAGTATGTTATTTGGTCTATCAAGGTCTATTCTAAAAATATATATATAGCATCTATAACATCATTTGCAGATTAACATATTTATAAGCTATTGCCAAATAGTCTAATCTTTTCTTCAAATGAGCTTTCCCTCTCTCTGGAATTAAGCTATTAAACTTCAACTTTTATCATTGTAACATTGACCATATTTTAAAAGTTTATCTGATTGCCTATTGGGTATGCTAATAATCATCTCCAATTTTTGGTCTTTTGTGTTTCTAGCTATTATAGTTAGCATTTTAGGTAGCTCATTCATCATTTAATTACTCTGTTTCCTACTTGAAGCTCCACAATATGGTTAGATTTTTAAAGATGCAACTTTCTCATTTTAAGCTTCCCTTTTTTTATGGTTTATTTGTGGGTCAAGCTTCAAACACAATCTATTTAAGCAAACTTTGTCCATTCTCCTTTTTTTTAATCATATCATTTGATATTTTGTGGATTTCTTAATATTTGCTAAAATTTTCTTTTTAAAATTATAGATACATGCTGTATAGTTTGGTAGACACCAGGCACAAGTGGCTATTTAAACTTAAATGAAGATTAAATAAAATTTAAAATGTAGCCTTCATTCACAATAGCCACATTCAATTGCTAATGGCTAAGTATTGGACGTGTGTATATGGAACATTTTTGTTATTATGGAAAGTTCTACTGGACAGTACTGTATAGAAAAAGCGCTGTTATATTTTTGTGTAGTATATGATATGAATGTCTATATTTTATTTTTTATTCATGGTGAACTTTTAGATATGGCCAGTGCTAAATATTTACTTCTATTTTTTCTCTCCCCTTAAGAAAACCTCTTGAA